AAGGAACGAAGGAAGCAAGGAATCAAGGAGGGAACGAAGGAAGGAACGAAGGAAGCAATGAAGGAAGGAAGAAAGAAAGAAGTAAAAAGGAACATAAGGAAGAGAAGAGAAGAGACAAATTCAAAACAACAAAAGCTCTCAATCATTTTTTATCTTATTCACCTTCTCCTTTTATTCTCCCAAGACCTCAGTAACGCAGCATCTTCACGTGTTCGTCTATCTCTACTGGCCGCCTTCTGGTGAGTCTCGTGCAGAGGATGGGAGGGGTGGGTAGAGTCTGTAGCAGATGACAGTGATAAACCAAACCGTAACTGCGACTCCGTGCAATCCATCACTGTCTCCAACCAATCCCAGCAAGGCTGTAGTCCTCGGTCCACCACGGTGCAACAGTCTTGAAGTGTTGTGGGGGGTGGGGTAAGGGAAGGGATGATTGGTAGTGATGAAGGATCGTGAGCGAAGATCAGAAGATCTGTTATCTGGTAATCAAAAGAAAAAGCCGTTTCTAAATTAGAGATATTTTGATGAACTTGTGGTTTGCAATCAGGTATTGCTCTCTTTACCTTGGGCATGTTTCCCCAATTTCACTGTGACACAGTGTCATTCCCTAGAGTATCATTTCTTTATTTAATGGTTGCGCATGAGAAGACACATGAATTTGAAATGGGAAATAGGTTACACCCAAGGACAAGAGCTCTATAAAACACCAAAAATGTACCGTCCAAAAAAATCCCAAAACTCCTAGCTTGATCAGCCAGATAGGTTTAAATTTTAAAACAGACGTGGTAAGCCAATGATGTACTTGAAGATCATAGCTCACCTCTCTGACTACAATACCAAAAGCCCTAGCAAGTGCACTGCTAGCATTCCCCATACGTTCGTTAGAACTACTGCTGTTCAACTCATTTGCGGTAGTACTAGCTGCCGCTCCATTTCCCGCGGCACTGCGTCTTATAGTAGATGAATCTACGTATATAAACCCTGAGGTAGTCACTGAATGGCCACTAGCCAGACCTGTAGTGGTGGTGTTACGAGGCTGGTTATTTCGTATGGCCCATTGCATCGCGTGGGGGGTGGTGCGGGAATCTGCAGCTGTGGATGAAATAAAAACGTTATTATACACCAAATCGAAATGTGGTGAGCAATTTGAATAACTATGTTCTGCAATGACTAGTGACTGACTAGCCTCTCATACATGTGAAAACGCTTTTATGTTTCCAAGTGAACACGAGGCTAGTCAGTCCCTAGTCAGTGCAGAACAATAATTTTTCAAATCGCTATATTTCGACGATCCCTACAACACATACAAATGATGAGCAAAATATTCCTGCGTGAGTAACCGGAAACTTCTGATTTGAAATTTGATTTTTTAAAGAAAAGAACACCCTACATAGTCAAGGCGCACGCGCTTAGTATTTTCAAGCGCTTCAAACTATTCATTACCATCTAAGGGCGAGAAACAAAATATTATAACATAAGTGGCGTTTGAATCTAGACATCACGTTTTCACAGTTTTGTTCTGGCTGAAACGAGTAGCAATCTGGAGTAACATGTTTTCCGCCGATACCGAAATATTGGCTCTTAATTTTATGATCAGCAAGCATTGTACCTGAGGCATTACGACTGGTGCTCTCCGTTGTCTCCACTTGAGCGCCATCATTTTCATCCCTCTCCCTCTCATCGCCGTCTTCCTCTTCTTCTTCCTCGTCATCTTCTCCTGTAGACGATTCGTCTTCTGAGCAGAACTCTCCCTGATCGCCGAGACTAGCACTATCGGAGCCTATAATGGACCCCGGTACTCGGATACGCCTCACTGTACTTTCTACCTCCCCCACGTTGCTGTCGTCACTATCGCTTTCACTCTCGGCCAAGAGGTCTAGGTCCATGTCTGACTCGTTACCAGCGACGCCACTCTCGAGTTCCTCGTCACCAGCCTCTTCGCGTTCTTCTTGCATTTCAGATCCAACGTCTACGCACTCAACAACCTTGATAAAGGATAGCAAAAAACCAATATTAGTCAGGAAATATCTCAGTGTCTTTTTTAGAAATACGATTTGTTTAAAGGACTGATAACTGGTGAACTAGGCATGACTGGAAAAGTAGGGTCATTAGTTAATGCAAGCAACAAGATGATTTTTTTTTGTTCATGTTCCCAATCTCAGACCCACGATCTCGTCTGGGACACGATTTATTGCCTCATATACTTACAACCTACTGAAGAAAGACAACTACTCATCTACACCCCACACCCTGCGTTCTTCGATAAGTAGTGTAATACATTCATACGTACCTCAACCATTTCAGTGTCCACACCACCAGTTCCTGCCACAGTAGCTCCCCCACCCCCACCACCGTGGGGTGGCTGATCACTCCCAGCTTGGCGTACTTGGCGCCTTCGATGCCGCTGTCCACGATGTCTGTGACCAGCGGCTCTTTCATTAGAACTTGACTCTTCAGTTGACGATGCAGATTTCAAAGGCAGCGGCTCTACAGAAAAGATCTCTTCACTAGCTTGGGTGGCTACGAGTGTTGACGAGACGAGAGAGAATGGTTGGGCTGGACGACAGACACCGAGGCGGACTGGTGCGAGTAGGGAGTCAGCAGCCTGGACCAGCTCAGGGATGGCGAGGATGTTGAGGGCTTGAAATACACGACGGCATTTGATGAGTGGTTGGACAAAGCTCCTGGAAACAATAACATCCTAGTATTTAGAAAGACGAAGATTGAATGGTCGTTGTAACTGGTTTTGCTGAATTAAAAAACTTCCGGATAAATTCTTTAGCCCATCCCCTTCTCTGCTTCTTCCCTTTCCTTTGCAGTCTATTTCAACTCCCCAACCTCTGCCCCTTTCTCTCTTCCTATACCTTTAGGCCTCGCTCCCGTCTCTCGGTTCAGGTTGTGCTGTCATTCCTTAAAAACTTTATCCCTTGTCAAAATTACTTGGGTTTCCGTCTAATTTGTATTACCTATGTTTTCTCAGTTCCAACAAAATTATGTGCTTACAAAAAAGACCTCAATGATCTTTTTGCAGGTATGTGAAAAATTCCGTTACTTACGCCTTTCGTTTGCCTGTGGCTGGAGCCATTTCCGACGCCAATACGATGAATACCCGAGTAACGGAGCGCACGAAGCGCTTAGCAACAGTTGCTTCCTCTGAATCGTGAGAATTGGATGAATTCTTGACAGCATTGACTAAAGTGCCGAGAATGTGGTCAAGTACCTGAGAAAGAAATAATAGATCTTCATCAAAACTTTTCAACATTATCCCAATTATCATCATCACCACACCCACACCTACCACCATCATCGTCATCCTCAACGGGATGTAAGCAGATTGTATTTTATAAAAGCAAGGTTCGGGTTGATTAATGGAGAAATCGTGCATATTTAAGAATCAAAACTCTAAAACATCCCGTCAATTTTGGGAGAGACCTGCCAGTTTGCTACGGCATATGGGTCTTTATTCCTTTAGAAACGAAACCCTTCTCCATCCTTTAGTAATCCTCACCTCGGTGGTACACTTGGCAATCAGGCAATGAGTGAAAGCATCTAGACGTACAGCACAATCCTGACCAGACAGATACTTTTCCTGTTCTGTACTGGACAACATTGCTGCTGAGGTGAAATCAATATGCATTTCCTGGCCACCACGCCTATCAAAGACAGAATAAGAGAAGGCAATTTCAGTAATCAATCGCTTGAGTTTATATTAAATAAAGAGTATCATATTAGCCGTTCCTAAGTCGAGGGAAAAAATGGGTCGAGTTGGTATTACAGTGAATTGTGGGTCTGTTTTAGAGAACATATTTCCAAGATGGCGGTTAGTTCGTCCCCTAAAACAGCCCCACAATGAAGTGCAATGCAGAATCAACCCAGTTCTCTGGATGGATAATAATTTAAAGAAGAGGAAGCTCGACAAAGCTATTTTGTCGCTTTCTAGGAAATAGCCATTCCCCCTCCCACAAGGAAATCTCCCAATGCTTATTTATTAGATTTGCTATGATAAGGTTGGTTGCAGGAGCCTCAGATCACTGCCACTACCAAAATGAACCCCCAAGACATTACTATAGACATTACCTTGAGTCCATGGGTTTACACCCATCCATCACCATAGCCTTAACTGCCCTCCAATCCTGCATAATCTGCTCCAATGCTTTGCGCGCAAATCTCGGTGGCTCCAAGTCATGTTCTGGTAAGGGCGTGGCAGTAGCACCTAAGCTCTTGGCCTTGGCTTTGGAGCGGGAATCTGATGATCGATGAGGACGGTGTTGGCATTGTTCTACGGCCTGCCTGGCTACCATCTGGGACAGGAAGAGCAGAAGGTGCTCGCCTCTGGCGTTGGGTTTGGTAACCAGGTCTGTTTCGCTGATTAACTTGGTTAATAGCTGTCCTCTTGCGATCTGAGAGCCTGGGATCAAAGCTTTGCACTTGCATTTTTCCCAGCAGTCACAGTAGGCCGTTGGTGAAGTTCTTTTGAGCCTGGTAAAAAAATGCACAGAATAGATTGAGTTAACATGAAACAAAAATAATATGGCTGGTTATCTCGTTTTACTACATCTTTTTTTAGACAAAATAAAACGAGAAGAATAAGACAATCTCAAAAAAGGGTTGAGAAATATCAATTTTTACAGTAGAACTTTTAGCTTGTGCCTTTCCCATTGTCCTTTCCGACCATATGTCATTCCTTGAGTATTATTTTTCCTTTTTTATTGGCAGAGAGTTCAAGTTGGTACATTAGTATGAATGTGATCCAAAAAGAAGAACAGGGGTCCGAAATGCTGGAGTAACGAGAAGCACAAGCTAAAAAACGTTTTGGACACTACAACACAAATGAACACAAATAAAATAAAAATAAAATGTTTACATACTTGCAGTCATGTCCTCGGTGACAAACCCTGGCACATTCAGTACAACAACACAGGGATCCCGTCAGTCCACAAGTACGGCACTCAAAAATATCTTGATTAATATGCTCCGTCCCTGTCCACGTGAAGGAGCACGTGTCGTTACAGCAGAGCACATGTAAGGGAGACGCATCGGCGTGACTGTCAGGTGGACAGATCATGGACATGAAAACGTTCCTATCAAATATGACGTTTTCATTGGTGGATACTAGTTTGGCTGTGGCAAAAAGACTTAGTCCAGCCTTGTACGCTCGGGCTTTAACTGCTGCCATGAATGGAGTATCGCCATTAGCATTCCTGTATTTAAGAAAAGGAGAAATAAATGGCATTATCATATGACCCGTATCTGCCCGAGCGCGCGCTCTTAAAAAAGCCTTCGGGAAAATGGCGCTTGGTCCGTACGGCATCACCTCGAGCGAAATATTTTCCCGTACGGCCCTCCCACAGTCAATAAGTACATATTTCTCGACTGTGTAGCCACAGAAACATCCTCAGGAAACCAGGGGTAAAATTCTGTCACCCGTTTCTCTTTGCCAGAATTTCTTTTGGTAGCGAGAAACAAGCGACATAATTTTACCCCTGGGTTCCCGAGGATGCCACGGTCAGCAAAGTAGAAGAAACTGTAAAGAAATAGGATGGAGGTAATCAATTGTGTTGGGTGTGCAATGTACACAGTAGGGTCTACCCCCTTGTGTGGACTTGACACAAGCAAGTTCCCAAATCGTGTATCTATGGCAGGAAAAGAACTGTTACTGTAAAGATATAACAAGTCATTGTAGACAAACTGAACCAACTCATTATGGAGAAATCTTTCCCAGTTTTAGACCCAAGCGTCATTTTTCAAAAGATTCTTCGTAAGCCATGTCAGTGGATCTGCAAGCTTTATTTATTTATTATTTGTTTGTTAATATTTAGCCAGAATTTGCCCCTTCGGCATTGCTGATATCAATAGGGATAATCTTTGAGGAAATGGTACATGGCCCAAATGAGAAAACAGTGCTACTGATCTAACAAGTACAAGTTTAGGTTTGTGTTTATTGAACAAGAAAAAAATACTTACTTTGCTGACATGAGCTGCATTAAGTAAGGCTGCAGCACAGGACTCCCACACAGCAAGTTCAAACATCTAAGAGCCTTGGCCTGTTTGGTAAGGGGTTCATCTGTGGGTGGTGGTGCTGCTGCTGATGTAGTGGGTGGTGGTAATGGAGATGGATCATCTTCATTTGCTTCTGAAAACAATCAAAAGAATTTTGCAGTGATTATTAGGTAATGTTTAATAAACGAGCAGGAGTGCTTTATCGGGTATAAAACACTAGGCGTAGCCGAGTGGTTTTAGACCCGATAAAACATAATCTGTGAGTTTATTAAACGGCTTCAAAAACTCATGAATTAAGCTCTCATATTGTACCGAATACTTTACGAAATGATCCAAGTTTGATAGAGAAAATCCAAGTTAAAGTTTATGCAAATGAAGACGAATCTATATTAGATATAAAACCTTCTTCGCAGTCATGATTTCTATTGTTTCTTTCATAAATTATTAATGAGTTTTTTAAAGTAATATTAAAGTTTTTCTTTAATGGCTCATTCAATGTAATGAGGTTTGAATATAAGTGAAAAGATGGAGTTTGATGTCACTCGCGTCACAATTACATGTATTAATTGAAATTGTTTAGATAAACCATATAACATACATAGGACATACCACTACTATTTTCTAATGATTGCACAACCCTTTGTATAGAGGAGCGGGATTCATTTGGTGGATCGGGAGGCCAGTGTAGAGTCGGGATGGGTGCTGTCTCCTCCTCTGCCTCAAGACCTGCTAAGGTAGATGATGCTGACCTTGCTGCTGACACTGCTCTTTGCATCATCTCACGGACACCAATCCTGCTTGTAGAGCTGGTGCCTTGGGATGACGTAGTAGGAGCTGAGCTTGCTGGAGTATCTGTGGTTGATAAAATTGGGGAGGGATAAGAAAAGACAGTATTGATCAGAAAGCTGTCATAGAAAGGCAATATGAAAGGTTTATGAGACTATTGAAACTTGACTGTCATTAACAAAAAATAATGCGGTACCAGTTAATTGTCCAAGAATCCAGAGGGTGGGGTCTAGGGGGCAGTATCTCCCTAATCATTCTATAATATCATGATAATGTAGTGTGTTGAACCCAATTTGAAGAATCCTGAATCTGCCCTTTAATTTCTCAGTGATTTTCCAGTCACTGCTACTCACATGACGGACATTTGACAGGTCTTCTAAAACCTGTCATAAACAGGAATAAACAGGAATTACAAGACACTAGTCTAGACATTTATTCACAAACCATTGACAGAATCAGCTAAGCAGCATTCCGCAGCCAAGCTGCTACTCTGACGCACAGCAGCAGAGGCAGCTGCTACAGCTGCAGCCAAGGCATCTACTACCCCCTTGAAAGACTCAAGCTTACTGCCTACACCAGGTCCAGTACCTCCAGAGCTGGAAGGCTTGGTGGCTTCTCCTGGTTCGTGAGCCAAGGTAGGGAAGCACATGGAGACACATGCGTGAAGGATGTTGCGGTTGCCATCACAGCGTTCTTTGAGGGCCAGGTCTAGGAGGCTATTCGTACTGGCTGATGATGAATCAATCATACATTTTAATTGAAATGTTAAACGTAACACAAATCAGAGGAAACTATAAGTAGAAAGATGAATATGTTTAAATAACAGACAGCCATTTTCATTCTTAAGGCATTCCATTCTTTCTATAATGTACTGGGTATGTGCACATGATAATAAACTTGCACCAAAGAGAAATGAATAAAAAATAACACACTATATTTAGAAACTTTTTCTGATTATTCAAGTGAGCTTACAGTGCTCAAAACTTTTTTCACATTTCCTAAACTTTTTTTGGCTTTCGTCAATCAAACAATAACTCTGAGCAATGCAAATTTGATTGAGAAAAGTCAAAACACTAGAAAATGTGTTGCCTGAATAGCTTAAATAGCTGCCCTTCTGGGTTATAGCAAAAAAAAAAGATCCAAAAGTGACAAAAAGTCATGAAAATAGATGGAAAAGTACAAATGATAGCTGTATGTACCTGCAGAACTGCCCATTAATTCAAGAAAGTTCTGAATCCCTTCATAATCACAGTCAAGTACATAAGACATCAGTTTCTGGGGCTGAAATAGATACAAGAAAACAGATCAATAATTGGGCTCTTCTTCTACTTCAGGCAAGGAAGAGGATGTGTGCATCTAGTGAACCTCCCATTTATCCAACACTGGGAAAAACTGGGGGTGATGAATTGTTACTGTACCTCCATTGCCATGACAACAACTATAGCCCTGGACTTGCACTCTGTTCCTGGCCGAAGTGAGGTGACACCAACACCAAGACACTGAAGTGGTGGAATATCCTATAATAAAATTGAACACATAAATATTAGAAAGAAAGAGACACCAATAATGTTCTAGACCACATTCCAAGTAAATTTTCCATATACTGCCACATGTGTAATTAAATGGGATAGATAATAAATTTTAGYATAAATATGCAGGTGATTCTTTCAAAAAGAAAAAAAAAAAAAGAAGATAAAAGATTTTTTTTCGGTAACAGCAACAACGTGACTGGCCACCATTTTGGATTATCGCTGGAGGTGATTACGCGATTTTCACCTGTGTATTTTAACTAATATTTATTTTCAAAGACTCGTGTCTCGGTAAATAATCCCCGATATTCACTTCTCCTTCGGCAAACAATTGTTAAATAAATGGGATTCAGCAATGGTTTTATTCAGTGGCCTTCTTTCTCTTTCCACTGAATTTGGATAAATTTCAAAATTGATCTTTGCAAAACCCTGGAAGAACAGGGTATAACTTTTTCAGTACACTTAAGTTGATATCAGGTATGGGAGAGACATGAACACCAATCCCTAACACCATGATTTTCACTTACTATCCATGTAGGGTCCTTGATGGATCCAATAAAGTTTCTACACAAGGGAAACAGTGTCCCATTGGGGTCTGTCATCATGAGTAGTGAATCCTGTAGCAAAAAAGAAAATGATATATAAAAAACTAAATATAAATTTATGGTCTTGAGGCCAGCCCTGGGAGAATAGGGGCCTGGGGAGATGGGTCAAGCAGAGGGGTTAGGGACTGGGACTGTAGAAGAAAGGGGGGATTTTCGTCATGTCATGTAAAAGTTAGCTGATTAGATGTGTGGTTTATCTAACATATAACATCATTGCCATTTATGTACAGTCATGATATTTTCTTTTTGTTGGCATCGTCAGACAAAGTTTCCAAATGCAGTACTTACGCATCCAGTGGATCTCAGTTTGATGTCTCTAGATCCAGTTTGGCTGAGGAAGGTAGAGCAGTCAGCCGGCATGGTTCCACCTGCTTCTGGTTTACTGGACGCTAAACTGTACAGAGCATAGCGGACGCTACTAGAAGACTTTAATAACACGTGAACACCTAGAATTATCCAAAACAAGATCATAATTACTTTACATTCAAGATTATTGTTTGACTAAAAGCAAAGGTAGGCCAGTGCTTCTCTCAATGTACTTCTTGGTCACATTATGTTTTCCAAGCTTCAACCTACCTTTACAATTAACAGCAACTGAAAGAGCTTTAGATCCCACAGGGATGGACAGTAATTTAGGTGTACGCTGTATACAGTCTGGAATCTTATTGGCAGCAGATGATTTCACCAACTAAGGAAGTAAAGATTGGAGGCAACTAAGGTTAATTTTAAAATAGCTGTTATAAATCTTGCATTCTTATTGATATGGAGCGCATGCTTTATTAGAGCACACATCACACACGCACCCTTGTATTTTATAAAAGAAATATAAAACTCACTGTGCTCACTGTGCCATGTGAAGTTATAAAGCATTTGGGGATTGGCAGAAAACTCCGCTACGCATCACGCTTCTCCAAACACTTCTTTCAAGTTCTAAAGCATGCAATTTACGTTGCGAGCCATGACACATGACGCAATTTGTTGCACGCAACGTTGCTGAAGTAGAAAACTATCCTACTTCAGCAACATTGCACCATGTGCCCGCGCCTTAACTATCCCCGCATGCTTTATAACAGCACGCATGCACATTTTCTAACATTTTATAACCTCAAGCAAGCTACTAACCTGAAGCTCATCTTTACGCAGTATTCTAGTATCTTGTAGAAGCTGTTGTACTTCATCTACTGATTCAGCTGATGAGGGCATGGCTGGGTGGGTGGATCCACTTTTGTATGGAAAACGTACAATGGCATATGCTCCATCAACCTGCATACAAAATTAAATTAAATGATCTTTTCTAATTAGATGAAAATCAAAATTAGAAAAGACAGGCAGATTTTCCTATTTATTCACAAAGACGGTTTCTAAGAGGATGCCTAAGAAAAATTTTCCTTGAAATTTTCATTTCCTGTTAAAGAATCCCACTTAAACTTTATTCTCTGCACACTAGACCAGAGTTTCAAAGATTAATTTTGATAGCAAAATGATTTCCTAGGAGTCAAGTCAGAAGGAATGTTCCTTTTTCCTTCTCAAACCGACCCTATAAAACTCAAACTTGCTCTGGGGTTATTCATGGACTGTATAGTGGCTATCAGAGGTGCCTATTCATTGCTTTCAGTTCAACGCCCTTGACCTGCACCACTGCTGTGCTTTTGGGGTTTCACCCGTGGTGGGGAATTAGGGATAGCAACTGTTTTTGAAATAAACAGGACACCCACCTTCAAGACTTTTCCCACTGGAATGTTTTGCTTGTCTTCTACAAATATCACGTTCTTGAGTTCCCACTCCTCTATGGATCTGTCTATAGTCTCTGGTAGTGAATCCTTCTTGCGTTCTGGATAGAAGGGAGAACAAATACAGTTACACAAACATGTAGTACATACGCTTTAATGACCTCTGTTGACTTTATTTGTACATTAAGTTTCACTTACTTAGGCCCAAGATAGTCGGCATATCAGTCTCATTTGACGACCTCTCCTCAACAGTTCTCCCGCTTGGTACCCCAGGTTGGGGTGACACTCTAAAACGACACTTTTCCTCAAGATTCCATGCCGATTCCATGAGGTACCCCACACGAGGGACCCCAGTAGAGATATTAAAACCAACGGATCCAGGATGGTAGAGTGGACAGCTACGCATACAAACCTAAAGCAAAAAGAATAATATATAACTAGTTAATGCTGTTCTTCTCAAAAATACATATCGGTTATTTGCCRGCCAGAAGGTCTGGATAGGGGAAAACTCTGCCCGAGGTCTTGAATATACAGTTTTTACCTATCCGCACCGACTATAGGATGGTAAATAACTTATCCTTTTTAGTATTTTTTTTTACTTGTTTTTGTAATCATTTTGTTTGGTTGTTTAGCAGCAAAAATACCGCACGCTCAAACAGCCAATCAGAATGCACGATTTTTCAGGCCAGAGCGGAAAAATAAATGTTATTATGGGAAGAATGAAGGATGGGATGGGCAAAGATCCTTTACCAAAGTTGCTATAGCAATGGCAATATAGATGAACATCACAAGGTATTTTTATTGGGTGGTTTGTCAAAGGGTTAGACTTGAGTCATTAATATTTCAAGACTACAAACAAACAGTTCATACCTGTACACCTGGTACTATACAGCTGGTAAAAGTTGTCCTGTTCCTTCTTGCACGTGCTCTTGCTTTCTCAAGCAGCTTTTTTCTTTGTTGGAAAGGTAAAACTCCCCTTGAACAAAAAAATCATGAGAATGAGAATGTGCAATCAAAGATTTAAACAACAACATTCATGGTTTCTCCAGGACTGGGAGTGGAATTTCAAAATTTATATTGTTGTGACCTTACTGGTGGTATTCACATTCTCCTTGCTTCATTTTGGCCTTGGTATGCAACAAACAACATTGCAACATTTATAGCTCTCATTAACCGAGTGCGAGGTCCGTACCGTAAGTTATGGACCGAGTTTTTTCCACTGCCTTATGGCCCAAGCGCGTAGTGCGCGGGCCATAAAAAAGTGGAAAAAACGAGGATCCATAACTTACGGTACGGACCGAGCAAACGAGGTTAATAAGATATTTATTATATGGCAAGGCATTGAGATCAAAAAGAGGCAAAGCAACAAAAAGTAAAGTTTACAGCGCATGTCAAACGAGAACTGCATTGGAAGGGCTTCCTGTACGTGCCAAAAGTCATGTAGTGTTTGAGTCGCTCAAAAGGCGAAGTTTTAGTTTACTTTGAAAGAATTTAGCTAAAGTTTAAAGTTTTTTGAAATACTAGTTAACAAAAGTGAGGCTTTATTTTGCAAAACATATAAATGCAAAGCAAAAAAGGCATCAAAAGAAGACCTCAAGAACTCAACATGAGATTGAGAAGAAAACTGTCGTACTTCAAACTTCAAGATATTCACAACCAAGATGAAAAATACTACAGCCTTCCGCTTGTTTTCCTGCCTTTTATTGAGAAAAAAAACCTCAAAAACTGTCTCCAGAAATGAATGAGAAGCTTTGGAAAATTACGGCTGGCTGAACATGGATAGTTTTCGTCAATTTTCAACGTTTTGACTGTTTGAAGCAGGCCGCCATATGTACAATGGCTGAAGTCATGAAGAAGGCACACTTTCGACTCAATTAAAAAAGGTACTGCCAACTCTCCTGTCTAAAAATACATTCAAATTCAAGTGGGRGTGAAATATTACTGAAATATGGAGATACTTCAAGAGCGGATGAGCCTAGAAAACTGCTTAAAACGTTTACGAAAGAAACTACTGACTTCTTCACCCGATCGATTCAGATAAGTTCAAACTGGACGTTGTTAGCTCACTGAAATAACAAATTTACGTTAATTCTACGGTAAACCTATCTTTATTTCATTTACTGAATTAGCCGCTGTTCACCACCCTTTAGTTCATAGTTTGACATAGTTTTAGCTTTAGCATAGTTAGTTTTTCTAGTTTTTTCGCTCAACTAGTGCCGTGTAGAGCCTTGATCGAAAGAGTTTCGCTTGYATGAAAGAGTTGTCACTTGTTTGATAAGTTTTACATTAAATGCCAGTGACTTTCAGTTATCTTTAATTATTTATTGAAGGTTTTCCGACGATTTTCATCCAGAAATATATTTTTTTAATAAAGATTTGAATGCTTTAAAAGATCATAAGTACGTACACTCAGTGAACCATTTCATTTTTCGGTCCGTACCGTAAGTTATGGACCGYAAATTGACCAATCATAGCGCGTGAAATTACCTTGCCATATAATAAGGCTGCTTATTTCCCTTTAATCTTATGTGAAAAATCCAGAATGACCAACAGTAGCTGGAGTAACTAATGCTAAGGACTCTGGAATGAAGCGGTTGTTAACACTATCTGAATTTACAACATTTTATGACAAGTTGTTCTGTAATCTTACCACCAAAGCAGAGCTCCTGTAGCAGTCTGTGCACAAGTGTAAAGGGAGCAGGTGTGAATGGCTGTAATCTTCTCTGTTGTAACTTCATTAAAATTCTGTGCAGTGTGCTCAAGTTTACCAGCAACAGAAGCCAGTGTCTCATCAATCCAGCTTGCAACCTGACAATACAAAACTTCTATTAAGCAGCTGCCTTAGAGAATTGTCAATGGTCACTAAAAATTACAGTAAAAAATCTTTTTTTGGACTTTGAAAAGCTACCAAATAGAGGTTCTACTATATATGTCGTCTTCCTAACAGCTGGATACTGCTGGGGCAAGGTATACATATTTATATTTATTAAATATTTGAGATTTTACACTCGGCCTGATTGGCTGGCTACAGTGTTTATATCAGCTACGATTCATGTTCCTAAGCTTACTTCTCTCTTGCTCTACAGCTGCCAGCATGTTTATATTACAGTACGGAGACATGTGCGCATGCTTTATATTCCTTAAATACATATATACATACTTGTACATACAATCACAAACTATATTTATTCTCGAATTTACAAGGTAGCTCTAAAAACTAATATCTTCATGTTATCATTGCATACCTTTCCTGTTTCAGTCAAAGCAGATGCTCTTATAGTAGACGCTGAAATAGCAACAACTTTCTCATCTGCCAGACCTAAAGACCTTGTACGTGGATGGAAAACTGTTGATCCCCCTGAGGTACAGTCACCAGCGTAAGGCATAGGATCACTCCAGCGCCACTGGTAAAGCCGTCCATCTATTCCTATAGCAACCATCTCTGAATACAAGGATGCAATGTGAAGAAATCTGGGCATCTGATCATCCTGGAAGAGGTAATAAATGATTGTCAGTCTGGGCCCGGTTGTACGAAGCCTGGATAGCGCTATCCGATGAATAAATCCTTATCCAGTGGATAAGTCAATGCTGTTATCTAATAAACTTATCCACTGGATAAGATTTATCCGCTGGATAGCGCTATCCAGGCTTTGTACAACCAGGCCCTGGACTATAGGTCAAAAAACCATGTGGGTTGGAGATCTGAAACCTGAAATCTGAGTCTGTGTAGCACTCTAAAACTGTGATATATTAATGTCCAAACAACCTAGTTTTCTTTTAGATTGGAAGATTAAGCATGACCTTTGAGTTAGAAATGTGATTTTTTTGTATTATAGCCAGGAAACATAAAAGCACAAATGTTCCTTTTATTTTCACACTGCCCATTTCAGATCTCAGACATGTTAACATATACAGCAAGATTTCACAGTGTTTCCATTTTTCTTTTCTTTTTTTTTTTTTTGTCACTAAATGCACATATTACCATTGATGGCCACCACTGGAGTTGGTCATGCACAGTCACAGGATCACAGGCAGGATTCCTTGCAGTTGTAACATTCTTTTCTTGAGCAGAAGCTTTACTTGGTCGACCACTGCTCCCTGATTCACCCCCACATAAATGAACATTGCCCCACCATCGATCAAACTGGTCACGACTGAGGGACTCTCTTTCTCTTGGACGATCAAACTCACGCTCAGCTGGTGCATCCCTGTCTGCAGCTGCTGCTGCTGTTGTTCTGCTGCCACGCCCTCCACTGGGTGTGCGTCTGTGAAGACTACTGTACTGTTGACTGTAGAACATATCGTCATGGAAAATAGCTTCTTGGTCAATGATGAGAGAAGGGTCTTCTACGTGAACACCTGCATCAAGTATCGACATCAAATCATCTGTAAAAGACAAATAAGAAAAATGAAGACTTCTTTCTGCTTTCAAAACAAATAGTACTGTTATGACCTGGAGTGAACTTGCTAAACATACAGTCCGCACATTTCTCTGCAGATAATACATATATGTCACATAATTTAAGTATCACAACAAGTTCACATGTTGAGGATCATAGCTCCGTTCCTGGCCCATCAGAGGTGATAAAACGCCCGGGGGGGAGGGGGGTACTCCCCTATATTCGCTATACAGGTACTTGCCGCCAAACAGGGTATGGTTTTCAGTGATTCTACTCTGGAACAGGGTATATAAAATCACGCTCGTTCTGGAACAGAGTACATGAAATCACGCTCTCTCCTCTCTGGAACAGGGTATCTATTTTCACAATACCGGAACAGGGTATGATTTTTAGTGATCTGGCTCTGGAACAGGGTATGAACATCCCTACCCTAAACGGGCAAGAGTATCCCCCCGGGATAAAATGGTAATCATATGATAATGAATAATAACAGTAACAAAGCAACAGACAATAACATACCCCCAGGCAAGTACTCTGAACTCTCTTCCTGGTCATCTCCCTCTTCTTCATCTCGGCTTAGAAGATTGTTGACAGCTAAATTTACATCCAAATTCTAAAACAAAAGCATAGTTAATTCGTACTTAATGGATGCTACAGCAGATGTATCTTAATCTTTTATGCCCAGAGTGAGCCATATGGCTCCCATAAATAACTGGCTCTACTGTAATTCCCAAGTGAGAGCCATATTACTAATGCATACTAGCTCGGCTTGTTTTACAAATTATAAGGCAAAATCTAAGGCATACTGAATAATACTCTTTGAATGCTAAGACCCCTTGGGATTTTGGCAGCTTGTAAGCATGGTTCCTTGTTGGGCATAAAGGGTTAATCTATATTTTTCTTTGCAGTCAAATGTGTACATGTATTGTTAACAATACATGTACCTCAACTTACAGTTCTTTGGAGTTCTCTGATAATGGCAGCTCTTGACTTGCCCTGTAACACAACTTGGGCCTGAAACGAATTGGGGGAAATTCTTAGGTTGAATACTGATGAGGGATTTCACGCAAACATGCTTTAGTTGTACATACATGTAAATTTCCAACTAGACTTGTAAATGTTCATTACCTGACTAACAAGTTCTTCAGGAACAGCAGAAGCAGGTACAACAGCTCTTGAACCTAGCACCCAACCACTGCCTCCACCACGCCCAGCACCTCTTCTGACTACACGCCCACAGCCACGGCTGGAGGGACGGTTAGAAGCACGCATGGCTACTGCAGAGTGACCAGACCCCCATCTACGATATAGCAATAATAGGTATAAGTGATTGATGCTTTAAAGCTGTGTTTGAGACTCAAAATAGCATGATGTTTGGGTCCACAAGAACCCCACCAAAAACACCAGCAGTTTTAGGCATAATAATATAGTATACATGTGATATAAAATATGTATTATTTAGAGCTTTGATTGTTTCTAAATTAACCGCTACTCAAATTAGTCTTTTATTAAAGAAATGAGAAACTTGCTTGTTGTGCTGTGTGCATTTACAAAGCACTTCATAAAGYGTTGAGAAATCCCCTAGATATTGTGCTTACTCCTAACACTTCTTTTGTGTTCTGCCAATTCCTGCATGATTTATAACATCACATAGCACATGTATGCATTTTCTATTTCTTCATAACACAATTCTGTTAAATAGCTATTCAGAAGGGAAAAAAGCTGTGGAAATTATTTTTATCAAGCATTACCACAGGTAGCTTGGTAATAAAGGTTGAAACCAAATGCTGAAAAAGGTTGAAACAACTCACTTTATGTAGTTTGGTGTTACTACATTAATCTTTTTGTTTCAGTAACCAACAGAGATTGAGTTGGCATATTATCAATAAGTGATCAATAGTTTGAACATTAAAAAGAAAAAAAGAAAAAAAAAACGAAAAAAAAGTTATTGATCTGTGTGGAAAAAAAATTCACAATTACCTGACGGGATGTCCAGTCAGGCCACTCAACCCTTCTCCTGATGATAACACCCATGATCCATCACCCTGACCTCTAGAACCACCTACTGGTTGAGATGAAGAATAAATACACGCATTAATATTATTAGTAGGTCTTATTGGCTTGGGTGAGAAACTTATACCATCACATGCCCATGCCCATAATACTGCTTGGGCTACCTGTGGTTAGATGCCAGAACAATGATATTTAATGCCTTTGCTCCTTGGAATTGAATTATTTCTCGTGGAAAATGATTGTAATGTTTCAGCTATCTAACATTGCTGCTGTCAAGTGTTAGTGCAAAACCTCTCTAAATGACTCTCATAAATCTCCCATTCTAATGTTTGGGAGTATGTGCATTATCAGAGGTCACAGCATGTGCCCGCACTTTCTATTTCGTCATTCATGTCCTAAATATTAAGAGCTATTCTAATTTGTATTTCATAAAAGAAATAAAAAACTTGTGCCACGTGAAGTTATAAAGCACCCGAGGAGTGGAAGAACCCTTGTGAAGTGTTGAGAAGCACTCTGCTACAAGTTGTGCTTCGCCTTACATTTCTCTCATGTTCTGCCAATTCTGTGTTTCGTTTTTTTTGGATAGAAATGACACAACTGAAAGTGCATACATGTGCTGTGTGCTCTCATAAACAACATGCTCCCAGCCAATCAGAACGTGAGATTTATTACAGATGTTTTATAAAAGTAGATAGTAGTTTATGGGTTGTTGATTATGATAGTTGAATCTATTATTGAATATTCTAACCTGAATGAAGAACAACTTGTGATGTTGATCTAGCAGCAGGGCTAGCTGGTTCCTCTTCACTGTAAAAATGAAAACCAATACAAAACAGATTTAATACATGACACAGGAGGTTTGTGAAACTTGTCTCACAACCAGCTAGTAGAACAACATTGATTTATGGGAACTTATAAAACTTGCACATTCAAGTAGAAAGTACTTTCTACTTTTTCATTCATGAAACTCTCCCTTCTCGTACCCAAAGCCAGCTTCTCAGCTTTCTAACGAAAAATCGAAGGTTCTGGTAACACACAAATCAACTGTTAATTTGATTGGTTTAAATTTTTTGCATATTGAAGAAGAAAAAAAGGGTTTGAATTTATACCAGAAGTCAGAATGAGTGGGGCATGCACATATCTGACGATCTAGAATCTGGTTCTTCTGGTTTGTGTGTTATCAGAGCCTTCGATTTTTTTGTTGAGAAGGGTCTGGGTACGAGAATGGAAACTCTCTTGTCAAATATATCAAACCTACTAAAGTGCATACTAATATTCGTGAAAAACTTTGAAAGAAATTGCACAAATTAGTAAGCTCAGTAGAGTGCAAACCATATATCCATGAAATAGTACAAAAATTAATATCACCAATAAAGCGATGGAAAATAAAATAAGTAGATGTGTTTAGTGCTATTTAGTTTTTGTGCTATTTAATGGATATATGATTTGCACTCTAGCCCATAGGCCCACAAAACTTTGCACTAATTTGTACATTTTTGATAGTTGACTTTACACTGATCTGTACATTTTTGTACATTCTTGTTCGTTGACTTTTTCACAGATATACATAATATATGCACCATGTACATACATTACAGATACTATTGTACCTGTTGTCTTTAATTTACAATTTTTAAGATATATTTTATTAACTTACAGTGGAGGTTCTCTGGTACCAAAGTCTAGTTTATCTGCATGAAGGGTAAAAGGAATCCTGCAAATCTGTCCATCCTAAACCAACAACAACAACAAAATTAATTTTACATATACAGTACTGATCTACTATTAGTATTACATGTACTAATGAAGAGTTTTGAGAAGACTTAACATGGATTCCCAGAGATACAGGTGAGTCCCAGAGATGGGAGATCACAAAGGAAATCTAAGAGGTTATTGGAAACCAGTCATTGTATTGTCAACATTATTTGACATTGTTAGTATATCCAGGGTTTGGAGATTGGAAAATGCTACAGTAACTGGGCAAAATTATCAGACTTAAACTACCATGATCTTCTCCTATTATTTCAAAAGTTAATGAAACTCTGCCAGAACTCTCCAGTTACTTCATGATCTTCTCATATTATCTCAAAATGTAATAAAACCCTTGACTTCTTGGTTTTTGGCCTCTGTGAATCAAAATCGCTTTGACCATGGCAAACTTGATTAAAAGAAGCTAAAACACTACCAAATCTTGCTGCCCAGAAACATGATTGGTACTATGGCAGGCCTCACCTCAAGTAAAAAGGCCACATGTTGGGGACCCACAACAATTTCTTTGATAACATAATCCTTTAGAATCTGCACTACAGCAGGACTGAAACAAAAAACAACAAAAATGAGACTTTCACTAAGAAAAAAATTATACCTTTCAAAATCCAAAGAATGACTTTGTATGACACAAAAACTACCAACAATAATTATTGTAATGCATTTATAACATCTCCTTTTCAATTTTTCTTTTAATCTCAAAATTGAACTACTTGTAGTCCGGTTGCCTTCCAAACCTGAGTACACTTTTACTAATTGAAGGTACATTCTTTTAACACTAGATCTCTGTCTTATTGGGTATAAGACAAACAGTGCTAGGCTGTACCTCAGTGGATACTGACAGCCTATATTAATCAGACTCAGGCGTAATTAATTATCAGACATCCCCCCATTCAGGAATCAAGGGTGACCTAGCTAGCTATAGTGCACTTGCCACACACCTCTGGGGTCTTGGGTTTGATTGTTTGCTGGACTTAACATCATGTGTGTTTATTAGGTCTCTCTCCCTTGGGTTTAATTCCTGGACTCAACATCACATGTGTTTGCAAGGTTTCTCTCCCTTGGGTTTGATTCCTGGACTCAACATCAAATGTATTTGCTAGGTCTCTCTCCCTTGGGTTTGATTGTTTCCTGGACTCAACATCACATGTGTTTGCTAGGTCTCTCTCCCCTGGGTTTGATTCCTGGACTCAACATCACATGTGTTT